CTCTTTCCAGGATTGACATAGCCCTAGCCCAGAGTTCTACAAACCCTGTTTAAGATTAATCCTGGTGTGAAAGGGTGACAGAAGATCACCCCACCCCTTCAGCATCTTGGGTCATGGACAAATAGTTCAGTCTTCTACATAGGCATGGCTGACCTAGACATTTCTTATTCAGTTTCCTTTTAAGAATTCCACCTGCCTCCACAGTCCTTTGGTAGGGTTCTGTGGCTGTTTAACCTATGAATTGACAGGCCAAAGGACACAGTGCACCCTTCATTAAACAGCGGTGGCTACAGAAAAAAAGAGAGAATAATATCCTTTGATTGATAAGCCACAAGAAAGTCCCAGATCCATTTCCCCTCTTTGTCTTATAAACGTCTCTGTTGAAAGAGCGCTATAAACCCTGAGCACTTAGTTTGTCAGAAAACAGCTCCAGCGATTCTTCTTCTTGCTCATCATCTTTTATTTTCATGTGATTTTTTTTAGTACTTAATAAACTTGTCCTTTGCTCACTGCAGAGCATTTTCTCCAGTTATTAATCAGTTCCTTGAGAGGACTGTGCTTAATGTCAGTCCCTGTGTTTGGTTTAGCCATCGCTCTTTGTTCTTTCCATTTGTCTGATCTCCACTTTCCTTCATCCTCTCTGTTTATTTCTACCAGAGTGTGTCAAGTATGGATGTTTAACATATAAGAGAATAAAACAGGGTGGGTTGAACAGGGAGAAAGAAAATCCTTCGGCCTCAATTAAAAACAAAACCAATCATTTTTCTCCCATAGATCTTTATATTCCTTTTTTTAAAAAATATATCTCAGAACTCTGTTGTTTAAAGCTTTCCTGTCTAGGTTTTACATATTGAAAAGAGATTTAAGTTTTAAAGGGAGGGTTTAGGATCAAGCTAATGTTAGCCATCCGCCTGATGGTTGGGGTGCTATTTTTGTAACTAAATCTTAAAGGCTCTTGCCCTTTGAGAAGAATGTGATGTACCACACCGATGAAAAGCAAGGGCAAATAGAGGTTCAGGCAATCTGGTGTCGTGATGATCAGAGGCAACGAATGCCTCAGTGGAAGTAAAGATGGCAGTTAGATAAACAAGTAGCCCAGCTCCCATTTGTCACCGGAATCCAAACTGTTAAAGATTAATATTTGCTGAAGGTTTCTTGTTTTAGGAGAAAAAAAGATCTCTGATCTCAGTCACGCATTTACGGGTTTTCGCCTGACAGAGGCATCTGTCATTGATTAAGAGGTTAATGATCAGTAGTTTCAGGTCTAGATATTTTGTAACAGCTGAGCTGCCCAACAGCAGAGGTCAGTAAAAGACAGATGACTTACAAACCAGTTAACTATCTTTCTTGCACTTCTTAAAAGTAAGAAGGGAGATGTAAAATGGGGGGTTAGAACACCCATTAGTTATGTGTGTTCACTGTGTGTGTGTGTGTGTGTGTACTGAGAATGAGTATAATTTTAAAAAATGAATATAAATTTGGCACCTTTCAGAAACAGTGGCACTTTTCATTCTATGCCTGGCCTTAGGCATCTTCATACTCAAATAGGAAAAAAAAAAACGGAGAGGAGGCTAGATCGTGAAGTTGCTGAGTTAGAGCTCATTAACAAATTTTGCTCTCTCCTTAAATGTTATTAATGGTTTTCTCAATACAAAACGCATTTGCTGACCCAGCTATTGACAGTGAAAGGTAGAATATTGCAAAGATGGTACAAGCTGAAGATGTGTCTGTGGACTGCAGGTCTTGCTGAAACCTAGAAGCCTGGCGTGGATAGGAGTCAGGAAGTATCAGCTGACCCACTCTGATTATATGTGCAAGGGCCTTTCCTTGGCTATTGTATATAGACTCCCTACCATTTCTCCCCGTGGCCAGAACTGTGGTGGTTCACAATCTCTACCATATCTCTATCATATCTCTCTGAGTTCAGTTTCTGATACCACTGTTCATTTCATTGTTCATTCCAGCTCTGCAACTTGAACACTAAGTCCAAGTCACAGATATCATGGACAAACTGTTTCTTGTCCCAGACCTTCCTAGCAATGTCTGTGGAGAGGAATTGTATAGCTTGAGAGAATTATAGTTGTTCCTTCCCATGAGTCCCCAGAGGAGGGACAACTAAAGCAGATGTGTTACTACAGTGCTGGGAGAACAAACTACTGTGAAGTGGTTCCCTCATTGTCCCATGCTATTTCTAATTGGTGTTAATTGAGAGCCAGTTTGGTTTGGTGGTTAAGTGCAGCGGACTCTAATCTGGAGTACTGGGTTTGATTCCCCACTCCTCCACATGAAGCCAGTTGGGTGACCTTGGGTCAGTCACAGTTTTCTCAGAACTCTCTCAGCCCCACTTACCTCACAGGGTGTCTATTGTGGGGAGAGGAAAAGAAGGGGATTGTCAGCTGTTCCAAGACTCCTTTTGGTAGTGAAGGATGAGGTATAAAACCAACTCTTCTTCTTCTAGTATGAATTGGTCTAACTGGTTTAAAGTAAGAGCACTCTGTCTTCTAGCAAACGGTAGGAGTGGACATACCCAAGCAATGACCATTTGGATGATGAATTCATTAGTACCTTTGTATCTAGCTTCTTGACTGCAAGACGATTGTATAGTGGCAATTGTTGATATTTCTCAGACACACTGTCTGAAACTGGCTATTCTTTTTCACCATTTTCCCTAAAAATATTTAACTTCCAATTTCCAAGCCATTTCATGTATTTGATTAAATAAACTGTACCCCATGAAAGACTGCGCCAAAGTGGATTGGTATGGCTTTCAGTTTGCCATAATGTATTGAAAGTGGCACGTCCTCTTTAGGTATCCTGATGCACTTCTTGGCTACACTTTCCCACTCTTAATCGATCATGACAACTTTTAATGAGAATGTGGTTCATCAGTCTTCTTGTGGTATTACTGTGAGCAAATTGTATCAAAGGGAAGACCCATAGTAAGCGACAGAGCATGTGTTTGGCACTCAAAAGGACCCTGGTTTAGTCCCTGAAATCTCCAGGCAAAGGATCACAGGTAGCAGCGCAGTGTTCCCTCTAAGCTGAGTTAGTGTGAGCTAGCGCACAGTTTTTTTAGCCTCCAGCTCACACATTTTTGTCTTAGCTCAGGCAGGATGGCTCCAGAGCAAACTAATTTATGCAGTAGCCAAATTGCTCACTCACAACTTTAATGCTAGTAGCTCACAAAGTAGAATTTTTGCTCACAAGACTCCACAGCTTAGAAAGAGCATTGGTAACAGGTACTGGGAGAAACCCTTCTCTGTCTGAGGCTATGGAGGGTCAATGCCAAACAGAACAGAAAAGTCTGAGCTAAATGAATCAAATTCTGAGCTAAATTAACCTGAACAAAAGGAGTTATCTGATTCTGTATTAGGCAACAAGAAGAACCTAGCTGTATCATCTGGAAGTGAAGCATTATGAGTGTAAGTTTCTCCCCCCCCCACCACCCCAAAAAATATAAAAGTTAAGAATTATCTTGAACAATCCTGAACTAACAGCTATTTGGTGATAAGACTCTGTGTTCTGGTGGTAAGTGCCTTTGATGGGTTATTTGTGGCATTCATTGTTGGACTGTTGCTGTTATCATGTGAGAGTTGTAGCCTCATGGACCTGTAGCATTACCTCATATATTAATATTCTGTGTTTGAGTTGGTGGTAGACAAATATAGTAATCAGATTCTCAGCAGGTCATCTCTCCCTACCCCATTCAGTGAGATACAATATGGTTGTGTATCAATTAATTTTGTAAGTCAGTACAGTGTGCCCAGTGAAATTATCCTTTTTACAGGTACCAGGTCTGCTGTCAAACACAAGAAGTCATTGACCAGGGGGCCAAATTAGCCCCAAAATGGATTCGTTTCATGTAACTCTTCATTCTCTCTTTTTCTTTTTAAAGAATGCTTGAAGATGATTTGAAACTCAGCAGTGATGAAGATGATAGTGAACAGGTAATATTTTTGACATCTCATTGTTCTCTCTCAGCTGCTAGTTTTTATAAGTATTTATTTATTTTAACAAATTTGTGCCTTGTTTTATCCTGCTGGTGGTTTACCTAATAAAACCAATACAAATACAACCATCTAAAAACATAAAGTGATTAAAAATCATAAACTAAGAAGTCCATAAAATGTCCAATAAAAATTGTTAGTACCCACAGATGGAATCTTAAAATATAATCAGTCTAAAAAGGACTTGTGAAAGAGATCTTTTGGTTCTTCCGCATCTCTTTCGACACTCCACTCAACCACTCCTGTGATCAAGAAGGCATGGGACTTTGCCGCGGTGATATGATCCTGACGGATGGGGGGGTACCACTGAAAGGATCTAAACTAGTACATGGGACCTTTCATGTATATGGGTCCCAGGTTGTAAAGGGCTTGCAAGAAACCAGAAAATGATGAGGATGTTTCATAACTAGTATAATATGTGCAGCCACTCAGCACCTTCCAGGAGGTGGACGGCAGCAATCATAAGAACACTTTCCTGGAAGTAAGCCCTGTTGAATAAAGCTGGACTTAGTTGTGAGTACACCTGCTTAGGATTGCTCCCAGACGCCCTATGCACCAATTAAAGCTTATAGATTGTCTTCAAGGTCAGTCCCATGTATCCTGTAGCTTTTCTAATTTCTACAGTTTTTCTAATTTCTCCATTCTTGCCTGTCCAGTACTTATAATGACATTTCAGATGTGGGAGTAATCATTCTAATCTCTCTGTACTTTGGGATGAGATTATGATTCCTCCTTCATTCCAGGTGCCCCAATTTTATCCCACTGAAAGTACTCCAAGTGTTTTGTTTCATGGTGTCCAGGGGTCATTTCGTAGAAAAAGAGGTGCAGGAGCTCATTAGCATAACTTATTTGCATAACTTATTTGCATATGCCACACCCCCTGACATCACCGGAAGTGTGTCAGAAGGCAACACCCACCACTCAGGCTCCACTGGACTGTTTTGGATTGCTAGCTATTGGGGGGGGGTGAACATGCAGATCTGTCCTCGCAGAGGAGGGAGAGCTTGTACCTGAATAAAACTTGGTCTTAAAGGTTCCACTGGATTGTTTTGGACCGGGGGCAGCTCTGCAACTTACCTGGCTGCTTCTTGCTCTGACTGAGGGCTGCTGGGAGCAGGGGGTGGGGCTTGTTTCATGTGCCCACCCCCGGGCTCTTTATTGCCGGAGCTCTGCTCCTGCGCGCTCCTACAGGAAATGACCCCTGATGGTGTCCTTCCTAACTCCCGTGTTCCTTCTTTCCAAACCTTTTTCTGTAGTTCTTACCAAAGCTAGTAGGTTGGGTTGCTGAGGCATGACTTGAGTGTAGTTCTCTTATGGCTTCCTTTTTGTCCATATTTCACTGAACCAGTTGTTTCAGAAGTCTCTAAAGAACATGGAGAATGGGGTATTGAGCTACAATGTCACAGGAACATCCCCACCCATACCCCAGTCCTAGTCAATTTTGGCCCTTCCTTTGGGTGCAAAGGAAGACAGAAAATGAGGGGCTATCTCTGGAATCAGTTTTCATTTATAATTGAGGAGCTGCTATTGATGCTGTGCTCTCTGTCCACAAAAAGATCTAATGAAATGGACCGTGTGTTTCTCTCTCAGTACGAACTGCATAATCAGTATCAAATGCTTTTCTTAAAGCAAAGAAAGTTCTGTTGCTGGCTTTATTAAAAGTGTTGTCAAATTGTTTGAAGTTTTCCACCAATATGGTCCCATTTCCCTGATTTAAAAAATGCAGGCTGGCCAGCCTACAAGGCACAAATTCTTAACAGCAGGTAAACATCTACTTGATGTTTTATTAAGCGGCATCATTAAACTGAGCTTAAGCAGTGTGTACATTTTAAAATGTTGTGGTTGTCCAGCTGCATGGCTACCAGGGGAATGCATCATTTGCATTGCAATGATGTTTCCATGGTCGAATCATAGATGCAAAGTTGACCCTGTGCGTTAGTAAACTATGGCTTTGCTTCATATTTTAGCCTGGATACTAATACTGATGGTATTAGCCATGATGTGTGCTTAATGTGCTTCCAGTCACAGAGGCAACTAGTGGTACTGGATGTGTATGCACATCGCTGTTTGTATCAAAAGATGAATATATATGATCCCATGAGGCTGGATGTGAGATAGATCCCATGAGGCCCAAGTGAGCATTGCGATACAGATATGCATCCAGATGCACATCCCATCATCTACACATGATCTCTTTTTCTGGGTCAAAGAGCAAGGGTTGGCCCTTGATGGCTTTATTGTATCTTTTTTTAAAAATGAAAGAAAAAATTCCACTCATGGGAGTTATTTACATGTTATAAAGTCCAAATGATAGACACGTACTGTCAACAGATGTGTTCATGGAGTTCCATGGTGGGGCCCAGTTTGGGTCAGGAACTTGATGTGTGCAGGGGACTTAAGTCCCCCCCCGGTGCTGTTTTGCAGACCTGAAATGGCCCCAGGAACCATTATTTGCACCATTGGTAGGGTTGCCAAGTGTAACTTACCTCAGCAGCGGGGGACTCCCAGGTGGATCCGCACGCACGCCGCACGCACGTCACCAGGAAGTGACGTTATGACGCTGGGCATGCTGGGGACGGGGCCATGACCATCCGAGGAAAAACCATAGAGTTTCCCCTCGGATGGTCGTGGCCCTGCCCCCAGGGTGCCCGGCGTCATAACGTCACTTCCTGGTGATGCGCACGCTGGGGTGGGGTTCCCCCCGGGGCCCGATCCGCCGGCGGTGGGGAACGGGCCTCTGGGGCGGGAGTTTCCCCGCCCCCCGGGGGGACTTGGCAGCCCTAACGATTGGACAAACTTAAATGCAGCCATCAACACATGTAAAATTCCCCAACTGGGCAAATACAGTAGTAGAAGGTTGTTTCAGGTCAGAAAAACAACAGCATGGGGAGGAAGGCTACATATGCCATGCTTCCAATCCAAATTGGGCCCTTACATGTCTTGGAATTAAGTTCCCAGCACAGACTTCCAAGCACATGTCTAACCCAAAGCTTTGCGGAGGCCAAGTTCACCATGTGGACTTTGTAATGTACCGAGCTGAGATTAAAATAAGCTAACACTCTGGTTCTTGTAAGCAATTTTGATCAGTCCCAATTAGCTTTGAACTCAGTACACTAGTGAACTGTAGCAGGATCTTGTATTTTTAAGTACTTGTTTATTAATTTTCTCCAGCCCCTTCTTCTTTGTTCTGCATTTTGCCTGAGGAGTATCCCTCTTACCCTTTAAAATGTGTTTCCTTAATTTAAAGCACATTGCTGGAATGTTGTGTATTTTGGATCGCAGCAACTGCGATACCAGTCACTTGACTCATTTTCTTACTTTATGTATTTAAACCCTTTTTTGGCAGAACAATTTGTTGAAATGGATTTTTATCTTTCTCTCTCTCTTTCTTCCTTCCCCCTTTTACTTAAATGATTTAATGTTTACATGTGTGGATCTCAGATAACCTTGCGCTACATAGCCACCTCCCATTTAATCCTTGTTCTCAATCTAGCTGTAATATTTTATTGAGCATTTCTTTCTATGCCATGTTTGTATTTGATAATTGCAGGCAAAACGAATTGCTTAATTGCTCAGAGGCTCTAAAGCCTTAGGCTGGATTTTGCATCCTTACAGCAGATTATGAAAGTGCGGAGCACTTATATCCATCTTTAAACTAGAATAGCCTGTCTCTTTTTTAGATACCTTCCTTTAAAAATGTGCTAATTCAGACACTAGGGCAGGGCTGTTGTAAACAGATACGGCACCCAAACTTCGTTTGACAACAGACCCTCTTTTCCCTCCATTTTAAAGCTGGACTCTGAACAACTTGTTTACCTCTGTGAGAAAACCCCACAGTTTCTATTTATTTTGTTATCAGCAGAAAAGCTGAGGAGCTGTTTCTCAGTAATGGCATCAATACTGCACGCACACACACAGGGACCAAGGTCATCTTGTCAAAGTTATAGAAAAATCAGATGGATTAGGATGAGCCCAGCTACAAATAACTTTGATAAAGTATTTGAATGTAAACTGTTTATCTGCCTTTGAGTTTCATTGTAGTCCTGGCAGAATGATGTCGCCGTAAAAAATAAAGAGCTGCTGTTTAAAGTATTTTTCAAAGAAAAATATGGGTGAATGAGGGTTTTGAGTCTTTTCCATTAATCATGTGAAGCAAATAATTACATTTGGCCACTAATAGTGATGCGATGCATAGGATTCTCCTGAGGATTTTTTTGCCTGTTTTATCAAAGCTCTTCTTCAAATTCCTCAGATGTTTTGCCCAGCTAAGAACCTCTAAATTTACCTTGAAATGTCTTTTTAAGCAACAGTTGGGTGACAGCTCTAGTAATTAGCAAAAACAAGGATGGAATAAGATCTAGCAGCTTGGATAAGAGATAACCAACACAGAGAAAGGAGACAAAATATATTGTTATAAGGAATGGCCATTTTAAAATATTTCCCCTTTTTTGTTCCCTATCCCATTGAAAGGCCAGGAAAAAAAATAACCTCACAGATTAATACATCTGACCTCACCCCTGAACCTTTACTGGTTAAAATTTGCCCTCACTGTTTCAAATTGCCCCTTCTGCCAACAATGAATTAAATTAAGAGTTACGTTGATCAGTGTATATCCATTAAACTGATAAAACTGACAATCCTACAATTAACAGATTATAGCTGAATTCTGGTCATTGTGCACAGGAGATTCTTTGCCCTTGGTAAATGTATATTTACTTCGAAGAAAATCCTGTAGGTGAAAGAGACAAGAAAACGGGAGAAACTCAGGAGAAGCACAGACAATCAGCAGAACTGCATTTACTGCCCTCGTGTCTCCTTATAATGGATTGTAATATGTTTAATTGCTTTTAAACTCCTCAGTTCTGCATACAAAGTCTACAGTTGAGCCTTGCTCAATAACGGCAGCGAAGCCTTGCGTCCCTCTCTCTCCCTCTCTCTCTCCCCCCTTTTCTCTCTCTCTCAGCACCGTTGCTGCTGTTATCCTTTGCCT